GAAGTAAAGTCAAAAATTTGTAAAAAGTATAGTTACTGGAAAGGTAAAGAAGATACTGCGGAATTTCAAGATTGGGTCGAAGATCATAAAGTAATATGTGATATAAACCATGTCGGATCTTCAGGAAAAATGGAAGTGGACTCCGTCGTAGAGATGTTTCAACGATCCGAAGAAAAACATAATTTGAAGTACTGTTTTTTTTTAGGAGACGGAGACAGCAAAACCTTCAAAGGTATTATGGACGCTCGCCGCTATGACAGTGTAATAGTAACCAAAAAAGATTGTATCGATCACGTTCAGAAACGAATGGGCACACGGTTACGAAATCTAAAAAGAAACACTCGCGGATTAGGAGGCAAAGGAAAATTAATTGATGAAGTTTCCTTATATTGCAGAAAGAGATTGGCTATTCGCAAAAATTGCAATTCCGTGAAGGACATGAAAAAAGAGATCTGGGCTACTTTGTATTATAAAATTTCAACAGATGAAACTCCAAAGCATGACAATTGTCCAGCTGGTGCTGACTCGTGGTGTTCCTGGCAAAAAGCACTCACAAGCCAGCAATCGGCAATGATGTTTTCAATGCAGTGAAACTTGTGTACGAAGAACTATCAAGGGAAGATCTTTTGACAAGATGTTTAGGGGGATATACGCAAAACAGCAATGAAAGTTACAACGCCGCGTTATGGTCTATCGCACCTAAAACTATTCATAGTGGCAACAAAGTGGTTGACATTGCGTCTGATATAGCTGCTTACAATTTTAATGACGGTCTTACAAGCATTATGGAAATAATGCAAGCACTGAAATTAACAATTGGAAGATTGTGCTTCGACTTTTGTCATGAAATGGATTTAAATCGCATTGCTTGCGCTCCATGACTGCTGAGACTAAAGGAGCTCGTAGAAGCTTACTGTCAGACAGAAAAGCTGCAGAAGATGAAAATAAGCTTCAGGAAGGACAACTGTATGGTGCAGGAATCGCTGATTAGATGTATCTAGAAAAAATATACAATTTTTTACATTCGAAAACTTTAAACGCGTTTTTCTGGAAACTACATTTTTCAAATCTGTGCACACGATAACTTCCACATTTTTCAACGGATTTTCAAGATTTTTTTTTCAAAAGTTTGTATTATCTTATTCTAGGTAAGTACGTAGCCGTTTTTCGATATGTCTCAGATTCTCTGTTTTACAACCATTTTTATGTACGTTTTTTATCGATAAATACAGTAAAACCTCGACTTACGCTACCCCGTCTTACGCGACCCCGTACTTACGCGGTTTTTCTAACGACACCACGCCGCGCCGTCGCGTCGGGGCGCGACAAGAAGGCGCGTTAGCCGTCTCGCATTTTTTTTAATTCTTCATCATGTTTTTCGCTGGTAGTCTTGTGTATTCACCAACACGAAATAAAACGTTTCGATAGAATATTTTAAAACTTTTACAAATGTCCTGTAAAAGAAGCAAAAGTGATTATTCGGCGCCGAATAAAAAAAGAAAAACTTTAACGTTAGATTATAAACTTAATATAATCAAGGGTTTTGATAGTAGTATGAAGGTCTGTGAACTCGCGAGAAAGTTTGATCTCTCAGAATCCAGTATACGGACAATTATAAAGGACAAAGAAAAAATTCTCACGGCTGTGAAAAATACGCAGTCGTTAAACTCTACCATAATTCGCAAACGTCATGGTATTATTGCGGAAATGGAATCAATCTTAAAATCATGGTGCGATAATCAAGTCCATGTAAAAAACTGTCCAGTTGATCAAAACACCGTATGTAGTCAAGAAAAGTTAATTTTTGAAAAATTAAAAGAAAAAGCTGGAGAAGCGGTCAAAGACGAAACCTTTGCTGCCAGTAACGGTTGGTTCGACCGATTTAAAGTTCGTTGTAATTGGCATAGTATTGCCGAGAGCGGAGAAGCGGCCAGTGCAGACAGAGAGGCCGCGGTTTCTTTTCCCAAAACATTAAAAAGTTTAATTGAGGAAGGTGGTTACACGAGCCAAACCATATTCAACGTGGATGAGACAGGTTTATTTTGGAAAAAGATGCCTAAAAGAACATTTATAGCTCGCGAGGAAAAAACATTTCCAGGTTTCAAAGCGTCTAAAGACCGTTTGACCGTGATGGTTGGTGCGAATGCAGCAGGTGACTGTAAGTTAAAGCCTCTTTTAATTTACCGATCGGAAAATCCAAGAGCTTTAAAAAATAAGTCTAAAGCTGGCTTGCCCGTAATTTGGAAATCAAATCCTAAGGCTTGGATGACAGCGTCTATCTTCGAAAACTGGTTTGATTGCCACTTTATTCCCGAGATTAAACGCTACTGCGAAACTAAACAAATTCCTTTTAATGTAATGCTTCTTATTGACAATGCTCCAAGTCATCCGCCAACTGTTCTATTTAATTTTAACCCACATGTTAAGGTTGTTTTTTTGCCACCAAACACAACCAGTCTACTTCAACCAATGGACCAAGGAGCCATTAAAACATTTAAGGCTTATTACACACGACGTTCATTTGCGCACTTGAATAATGCTATGAGACGGAACGATCAAATGTCCGTTAAAGATTTTTGGCGGCAATTCACCGTTTTAGATGCTGTTAGACTTATTGGAGAATCGTGGGACGAAGTTTCGGAGAAAACATTGAGTAATGTTTGGAAGAAAATCTGTCCATTCTTTTTCAACAACGAAACGGAAGTAACAGCCGACGTAGATTTTCTTGGTAATACAATAGAAGAAATAGTAACTCTTGCGACAGAGTTAGATATGGATGTTGACAGAAACGATATTCACGAGCTATTGAATTCCCATAACAACGATTTAACGATTGTCGAGCTTATAGAAATGCGTGACCAAAATGATGCTGATGAAGAGGTCAGTTCTGATCCAGCCCAAGTGGAAAAACAAATGACAATTGCAAGTTTAACTCAAGGTTTGGACTCAATTGAAAAAGGTTTGAAAATTTTGGAAAATATAGACCCTAATGAAGAACGAGTTATTACTACAACGCAAGGTATTAAAAAATTATTAGCTTGTTATGAAGAAATTCTTCGAGAAAAAAAAGCATCCCTCATTCGTCAGTCTAGTGTTTTAGATTTTATAAAGCCGTCAGAACCGACGTAACAATATACGTTTTAATATTATTTATGTACCTTATATTTTCATATTGCTTTTATTTTCCCGGGAAAATAAATTTATTAAAATTAGTAGTAGTATTATTAGTATGTACATACATTTTTTTAACTTTTTTAATTTTTTTAGTATATATATATATTCATACATATAATCTATATATATATATATACATATATTTATCGTATTTCGACTTACGCGGCTACTGTCAGTCCCACCTAACGCGTAACTACGGGGTATTACGGTACGACATTTCTTGTAAAATCGTCACCATTTCGTCAAAAATGAATATTTTAAAAAAATCCTAAGTAGTTCCCTAGTTTTTGAGTTTACTAAAGTAATCGTATTCAAGTTTTAATTATTCGACTTACGCGTTAAGAGAAATCCTGCGCATAGTTTGACCTTGCACGATTTGCAAGCCTAACATTACCGACATCTAGCGGGTGCAATTTTAATAACTGTTAATAAATAAAATATTTATTAAAAACTAGAAAAGTGGCTTATTCACACCCTGCAACCCGTTTTTAGAAAAAATTCTGTCGTCTGATTACAAAAAAAATTAATTAGTTCTGCATTTGTATGTCTATTGTCTAGGTATGAAACTCGATATCTTAGAATCAGTAATCGATACAGCATCGGCATAGTCTGCTATTCAACACCGAAATCCCAAAGTTGAATTCGTACCTTGCTCAAATCATTCATTAAATCTGGTTACGATTTATCTAATTTGATAATTTGATTCTCTTATTGAACATAAGTTGAAATTGGGGGATGTAGTGACGTTACAGACGTACAGTGTGTTAATTAATTATCGTACACGAGGTCATCATTGAAAGTATGCAACCAATATCACAGTATTCATATATTGCAATACTAATACTGTGATATTGGTTGCATACTTTCGATGATGACGTCGGTACGATAATTAATTAACACACTGTAGTTGGTAACGCCAAGCATGACATAGCAAGAACACACGAGATCAGATGTAAACGTGTAGATACATAGTTGATTAATAAACTCACTATGAAGTAACAAGAAATATTATTTATCACACGCTTGACGTTATTTCTTTTAGTTTGATTATGTTGATGATCCTCCCATCCTCTCCTATCTTTTCCTTTCCTCATCAAAACCTCCCCACTTTCCCTCTCCAGACATTCATTCTCCCAAACTTTTCATTTTTCTGTACTTACGCCTCTCTCTGTAGCATATCTATTGTCCTCATAATTTCTCTCTTTGTATTTTGTTCCTTATGTTTTCTCAATGTATGTATTAATTCCAGTATGCTTTCAGTGCACTTTCATCTTCATCGCTTCCAACCATCATTTCCCTTTTCTTTATTTTCTTGCTTTTTAGAGTTTTCTCTTAGTTATGCTAGCGACGAAAAAGTTAAGCCACAGTCACTGTCTTAGCGTTTCACTCCCCAGGTCTCCTATACTTTTGCTTGTCCAGTGTCTTAGCAACGCATCTACTTGAGGTCGCTCTTCGGCGTTCACCGGTACAAATGGTCGATCAAGTTCTTTTTCTTCTTCGTCAGATCCTCCTCAATCATTACCCATACTCAAAATGGTAGTTGGTGACGGAACGCAAACTCCTATTCACTGCGAGAAACCTAACCTAACCTAACCCAACCTCAATGATAAAAATGTAATTGAGATGATTCCATTCATAAGCTAAAAGTGGTCTGCTACACAAATCAAGCAATGACACAAAATATGTACCATGTTGAAGACAAATTCTAAAAAGACCACAATTTGTGGCCAACCTTAATATATAAAAATAAAATAACACATTTTATGTAACAATATTTTGCTTAAAAATATTTCTAAAAAAATTCTATATAACTATTTGTAACAAACCTGTAAATATTTTCCCCGAAACTTAGAAGACATTGAAAATTCCTGCCAACACTTCCAACCACGTCCCTCACAATATTGTGCGACCATTGGCGGATGATGAGAAACCTGCTCGTTAATCACCCTCCAGCCCAAATCGGCCATCCTATCAAACTCGTACGTCTCGCCCAACAACGGATTAAAAGGCTTCCCATTTCTCGAGCTGGTCGTCGAATACGATGAAATAGTAAACGCCGCGACATAGGCTAATTGCTCGCACGGATCCGTAATATTTCCCGCCTTATCCAAAATCTCCGAATACTCAAAATCTTCGGTTAAACGCTGCAACATACTCAACGGCTCGCTGAAATTAACCGGAATCGGTATTTTCGTCAGATCTTTTCCAATACAATTCTTCACGATACTCCACAAACTAATCGGGTAATTCGGTTTGTCGGGAACGCGATTCCGACGGGCTCTAGCGCCGGATTTCTTGCCGCCGCTAGAGCCGGAGCTCGACGCAGCTGCCGTTCCGTCTTTACGTTCCACCGTCAACGGCGAAGAATCAGTTTTACCGTGGGTTACAACGACAGCTTGCTGTCCGCCCGTCTCTTCCGTTTCCTCACTAGAACTTGCGTCCGAACTAGTCGCCGCTTCGTCAGAACCACCTAATTCCTGCTGTTGTTGTTGTCGGTTGTGTGGTGGGTTAGGAATATCAATTAAAAAGCGATGATCGGATGAAGATCCCGATGAAGTAACCGGAAGCAAATTGTTACCACCTTCGGCTACGGCGTCGTAAAATTCATTTTCGTCTTCATCTTCGCTTCCGCTTATCACATCTAAATAAAAAAAATAAAGAATTATGAAATAATTTAATGAATTAATAGAATTTAATTAATTTTAGGTTATGTTATTTTTAACTGTCAAAAATGACAGGTTAACCTATAAATTAATAAAATCAACTTAATTAATTAGTTATTTAGATTTAAATTATTTTATTAATTTAAATTAACTTATTTTATTTCCTAACTGATCAAATTTAATTAAATAAAATCTCATTGATTATTTAATCTAATAATTAAAAAAAATTTTTACCTTGGTAATTTAATAAAAGTATAAAAATCGCTTTGTTTTGAAATTTCCGCGGAAATTATAATCGATTGCAATCAAAAAGTACTGGAATTTAGTCCGCGAAATGAAAATTACTTCCAATAAATTATCGTAATTTGACAGAAACGTGACACTAACATGTGATTATTAAAGATAACTAGATAACTCAAAAATAAAAATCCCTAAAAAAATTAGTTGATACAATCGTCAATAGATGGCACTTTTTTTATTTATTTTTTTTTAATTAATTAATTAATCAGAGACATAAAGGAACAGCTGATCGACATCAGAAGGGAGATGAATGGATACAAAAGGATAAATGAGGAACTTAAGGGGAAGATTGTGAAACAGGAGAAACGCATAGATATGCTGGAGAGAGAGGTATGACTTAATAATGTGGTAATAAAAGGAGTTAAAGAAGAGAGATTTGAAAATTTCGAAAAGAGAGAGATGATGGTGATTAACTTGATGATATCACAAGAAGAATAGGAGCATATAAAGAGTACAACAATAGTTGGAAATATTCGGAATCTTCAAAACAGAGTTGAGGAGGTAAAGACTGAAGCAGAAGCAGAAATAGGAATCAACCACAGATTAGTCATGGCAACTATTAATAATATAGAAATCGAAAAAGAAGAGATGAAAGCCTACGCGAAAATAAGCTAAGACAAGAGGAAGAAAGACTAAAACACCAAGAAAAAACTAGAACAAACTGAGAGTTTGAAGACAGATGGAGAATTTTTAAAGAGATAATGCGATAATGAGATAATGTGTGGAATGAGAGAATATAATAATCAGACAAAGAGAACACACTGCTGGAACGAAGAGGTCCTACAGGCAATCAAGAAGAAGAAAGAGTCATGGAAAAAATAGATAAGAACGAATTCGCAGAATAGAGGAAACTATAGAACGAACAAAGATGTAGCTAAGAAGTTCGGAACAAGCTTAAGTCAAACATATGGAAATTCTGAAATCAAATAAGAAAACTATAGGGAGATCAAAGGAAACAAATAGAAGCCGTCCAAGATAAAAACAACGAGATAAAGACAACTATAAGGGAAATTCTGGACATATAGGCGGAATTTTCTTATACAACCATATGATTTAATATGTTCATCGCAGAGGAATTTATCTTATATCATAATATGCAAAAAAAATATGCATCCCATTTAAAATAACAATATTGGTTGCCAAAGCAACGAAACAAAACAAAAATGCGCCACGATTAATAAAGAATTTTTATTTGAAACATTGTTTTCTAAAACCACAAATGGCGAAGTTCTTGACTATATTCTAGACATTTGACACAGCCTGTATACTATAAAACCGCATGGGACTCTGAAATAATCCCGAAAGATTGGGAAGATAATATTATGTTACCAAAACATAAAAACGGAAGCTACTCGAACTGTGAAAATTACAAAGCCATATGCCTATCATCTACAAGTTACAAATTATACACAAAGACAATAGAAAAAAAGGTTAAGAAGAGTAGTGGAAAATAAACTAGAAGATGAACAAGCAAACAAACGAACGATAACATACATATAATCCGAAATATCATTGAAAGGAAATAGAGAACTATACTTAATATTCTTGGACCTAAAAGCAGCATTGTGTCTAGACCAACTAAAGGTACCACAAAAACTACCAAAAATGGAAGGATAGATTTAGACATAAATGCAAGAATAAGGAAAACAAACAACGTTATCATACTCTAGACAAAACAATAGTATCCAATAATTGCCAAAGTTTGTATTTAAAAATTCGCTAACAACTCTGGCAGTATGTGCTAGTGTCAGTCATGTTGACTGTCAAAGTATAATAAAAATGAATAAAACTTTACAATGAATTTCGAGAATTATGAAAAACGTACCATGATGGAATGCCATGTTATCAAATAAGAATGCGATAAATCCGTCAACATCTTGCAGAGAAATTGAAGAAGACGTCTGACCCAAAAGCCGCTGCTCCGAATATTAAAGAAAAATAAGTCTAAACCATACAAACCGCGGGTAACTCATCATTTAATTGCCGGAGATGCCAATCTAAGATTAGAATTTTGTCATCTGGACCGATGAATTTCGCGTTAGTGTGCGGGAATATTTTTTCTAATAATGAACGTATTTTTCTGAATGTTCGTAAGAAAGATTCGGGTTTAAAAGGGCACACCATACATGTGTGCCCTTTTAAATAATAGAATTTTGGCATATTGTATCTCTAACTAAATCTACCATGAAAACTTAAAACTGCGGTAAACACCGCAATATATTAACCCATTAGTGCATAGTGTTAATTAAAAGGGACGTCAAAATTATATTTTATAAGTAGTAATAGGTATTCGCCGATTCTGGAACAACTAGGGGCAAGGTCACACCGTGTGACCTTGCGGTTCCAGAATCGGCGAATACTTATAAAATATAGTTTTGACGTCCCGTGATTATAATTTAATTCATTGATAATTGACGCCGCGCTACCTATTATGCATTTGCTGCATATTATAAAAAAACGGCAATTTGTTGTGGTTTTGGTTTTGCAGCAACAGGTATGTATAACTATTAAATTTAAGTTAGGTTGTTGTTAAAATCCAAATGCATAATAAACATTATACAGGTTGTCTCAGCGAGACCGGTCATTAGACGTTTCTGGGGTTCTGGCCAAAATAAAAATTTGAGAATTCAGAGTTAAGTATTATCAATTACGTTCTCTTCGTCTAAAATATTTTCAGATTTCTAGCACTACCGGTTATACCGGAAGTGGTTACCTACTTTATTTTTGTAAATGGAACAGCCTGTATATTTTTACATATTTGGATTTGTCTGTTTTGAAGGTTTATAAGTAACTTTTCTTTTTGCAATTTGATTCGGCCGTTCTCGAGTTCTTCGAATTTTTCTAGAAAAATCTGCTCCAGCGGACATTTGTTCAAAAAATCATAGAACACTGGTTTTTTGAGATATCAATTTAGGATTCAGAACATGCTTAAACAACATTATGGAGTATATTTTGGTGCAGAGAACGGCTGTCTAGATCGTTTGTTCACTTTACTATGACACATTAACTTTTCGAAATTTCGAAGCACCATAACTTCATTTTTTAAATGGCACCCCCCATATTTTATTACTTCGTCGTCTTCGGCGTCTCATTTTACATCTCTTATATTCCATATGTCCTATGCCTAACATTAATAGTTTGAGAAATAATTAGGGTTTTTTGAAAAATGCTCATATATCATATGGATATTTAGTCTAGTGTGTCCTGAAAAACAAACCTTCTCAATGAGTTCTTTTCAAAGACTCACTTGTTTACGTCACTTGATGCATGTGAGCTAATAATTATCTGTTAGGTCCCTTAAAATTAGTACTGAAAAGAGTTAAAATCGATAACAATAACGAACCAGTAAGTTCTTTATTGTAAACCAGTAAGTAATTATCAAGTTTGTAAACCAGTAGGTTGCAAGGAAAAAATAAAACCATTATCGATATGATTGACACAATAAACGCCTTCAAAAATAAATTGCAAATACTTACTAAGCAACTAAATAGAAAAGATTTAAAAAATGTTCTGACTTTGAATGCAAGGGCAAGTTCCCAATTATATTGTGAGGTTTATGAAGTAGAAGTAAAAAATATTCTGAGTGAATTTGAAAAAGATTTTCCGATTTCAATAAATTAACGAATACCGTAACTTTTTCTGAGTTATCTGTGCTTCTGATATATCGAATACTTTCAATCATGACTTTTTTTCAGCCGAAAATGAAGTATTGCAAATAACATCAGATATACACCTCAAAGCCAGAGCAAATGATTCAAAATTTTGGACTTTTAGATCTGAAGAAAAATACCCCTGCATAAAGCAAGTTGCACTTCAACTAACTGTACTACTTGGGTCAACTTATTTATGTGAAAATATAGTAGTCTCTATAGTAATTACGTGCCAACGTACGAAAAGTACGCGTCGTTTGCGTACTGCAATGCGTCGACCTCCAAAATCGCATATAATTATTATTAATATGTATTTGTAACCAATTAATAATATATATTTCTGGTATAAATGTTTGTTATAAATCGTGATGGTTCATTGGAAAAAAGACACTCTTATTAACACTTTGGGAAATTTTCACACTCACATTCCAAGAACTGGATTTTACACGAATTTTTAAAACTTAATCGGCAAAAATTGCAAAATTCGAAAAAATTGTCGATGATTTCAAAAATTTATTTCTCAAGAACGAAAAGCGATTTTTCAAAACAGCTTTTTGCATTAAAAAGAGGATACTTTAATTAATAATTGGGGATATTTCTACACGGATCCTTCAAGAAATGAATTTTATAGCGAATTTTGAAAATTATCGATGAAAATTGCAACATCGAAAATTTTATCAAAACTTCAAATATTGTTTCCTCAAAAACTAAAAGGTATTTTTCAAAACGTGTTGGTTCATTGGAAAGAGGACACTTTTATTAGCACATTGGAAAATTTTCAAACTCATATTCCAAGAACTGTAGTTTATACGAATTTTTAAAACTTAATCGGCGAAAATTGCAAAATTCGAAAACTTGTAAATATCCACGCTGATTACCTTGAGAAGGTGTTTTCCTTCAGCAATGAAGCCTTGTTCTGCCCTCACAACAAAAATATAGTAGACAATTGGTACCAACACGCCTTTCTCAATTCGTCCGAAACGCCTCAGGATGCTCTTATGCAGGAGGAAGAGTACTTCACACTACTT